CATAAAGTTGAAACGACAGTGAATTATACTAGGAACATTAAGCACATTAGCAGCATAAAACAAAAATTATTGAATTTTATAACTTTAGTTGATTTCGTTATAAGATATACATGCAGACATGTTTCAGTTAAACTTCTTTTATATGGGTCTTTAAGATGTACCAAAAACAAACAAACAAACATAAAATTGAGTAATTTCGAAAAAAGTAATTCATAATTCGATTAACCAATACTTTACTTGGCTTGCATCCATTTAAATCCTTCTTAACTTGAAAATATGCTAATTTTGTTACACTATATTACTGTAAGCTAAATTTTAATGTTATAATTTGTTTGTTGGCTAGAGGAAGCTGCGTGTCATAATGATGATCTGATGATCCATAGATCTAGCAAAATATCTAGAACAAGGGTTAAGTTATAAATACCGGTGGTGAATAACGAATGAGTAAGAATACCGAAAGTTGTTTCTAGATGACAAAACGGATCAGTCAGTGTATTTGGATTTGTGTTAGCAATAATATTTATCAAGCTACTTTTAAGTTGATTTTAGATTAGTTTTAAAACTGTTAGAGTTTTGAACGCCATTTTTAAACGTACGCCTACAACAATTTAAGACAGTGTACAAGGGCTTAATCTTGTAGAAACGTTCAAATTAAAGGAGGAAATAAACTAGTTTGTGATTATTATGTGAACTTAAAAATCTCCCCATGGAAGTACAATGCTACTACATTGGTTTCAGGAATGAGATGTTTTGGTGACAACAAAATAGAATTTTGACTAAATTTTAACTTTCATTTAAAATTACCACAAGGGCACAAACTGAGATAGGAAACCTGCTAGGCATGATAAAACACTGAAAAGAAAAGCAAACAAAAAGAGACAGAGGATTTAAAGAAGAGCAAGCAGCATGCGACGGAAAGAAGAAATATACAGAAAATTAGAAGAAAGTGATAGGGAATTAAAAGAGGACCAAGAAAAAAAAGAAAGATAAAAACAAGGAAGATCAGGAAGGTCATACAGAA